AAGAGTGCAGTTCTAGGAACAAATAAGATACAGTTCAGAATCCTCAGACTCCCATGCCTCTGGTAGAGGACCAGAGAATGAGGAATAAACATACCACCCAGGCTGGGTGAGAAAATCAATTTTTTTAAATTAATTTTTTTATACTGTGTGTGTATATATATATATATATATCTTCCCCCCACCCCCTGGGCAACAGGATTGCTGTTGGTCTGCCCCTGGTTTTATTATGTGTTAAAAATGGATGGATCTTGAAGAGCTTCCATAGAGGAACACATTAGCTCTTGTTTGAAGGTCAGTGTGTAGAAAAGAGTTATGTTGAATTGGTAAGATTGTGATTACTAAACATCCATCACTGATCTTTCTCAAAAAGATTTTACTCTAATACAATACTCTAATATATCTGAAATTGAAAGGGTTTGCTGATTCTAATTTGGATTATTTGCGACAAGCCTTGTATATATATTTATTTTAATACTTAGTTCATTAAAATGTAATGTTTCTACTATTACTATATTTCACCTATAACGACATGGATTTTTTTCTGGGCTATATTGTCCATAATAGTTAACAAAAAATTATAAAACATTTATTTTGCCTGGCATCTGCTGGAAGGAATTTCAACTCATACAGTGCAGTGAAACGCTACATTTTGAAAGCATATAATACTTAAAGGAATACTATACGGTCAGGAACACAAACTTGTATTCCTGACCCTATAGTGCAAAATCCACCATTAAGGTGGTTTCCACTCCCCCTTACTCCCCTTAAAAGCATGAAAAGCTAATCTTATTCCAGCGCTGTGCGAGTCCACCGGCACTGGCTCCGCCCCCATTGGTGACATCATCAGAATTGCCAATGCTTTACCATGGGGAAAGCATTGGATTGGCTAAAATCGACAAGGGGCGGGTCCAAACACTGTTTTGGCCAATCAGCACCTCCTCATAGAGATGCATTGAATCAATGCATCTCTATGAGGAAAATTCAGCGTCTCAATGCAGAGCGTGGAGACGCTGAACAGCAGAGCTGCCTACTGTGCAGCACAAAGCCAGGAAGCCCCTCCAGTGGCCATCTGAGGAGTGGCCACTTGGAGGTGTCCTTAGGGGCAATGTAAACAGGCAGTGTTTGCATGCAAATGCTTGCATATAATGATTATACTCACCAGAACAACAACAACAACACACGTTTTTCTGGCGACTATAGTGTCCCTTTAACCCCTTTAGACCGGAGGCGTAATAGTACGCCCTCCGGTCTTTCGGTACTTACCCGGTCGCCGGCGGTCCCACGCCAGCGATCGCGGTGGGGGGACTCCCAGGGAGCCCCCCGTGGCACGTCTGTCCTCCACGAAGCCCCCCGGCCGTGTGAGAGTGGGGTCCTTGCGAGGACCCCACAATCACATGGCCGGGGATAGCTGGCTTCTGTATTGCCAGCAGGGGGGCTGCCTGTAATGACAGGTGGTCCCCCTGATGGCTGAAAATAAAATTAAAATGAGTTAAAAGTGTAAAAAAAAAATAATATATACTTAGATCATATATATATATTATATATATATGATCTAAGTATATATATACACATATACATACACACATGTACACCGTCTAGGTGTATTTTACTATTAATATATATATAATTATATATATATATTAATGTCAAATTACACGTATACTGATACTGATTAAATATATATATAATTATTGTTATATATATATTTATATATAATATAAAAAAAATAAAAATGTAAATACGTTAAAAAATAAAATTAAAAAAATAATTAAAAATAAATAATTAAAAAATATTTAGATGTGTGTTATTTCGTTCTAACTGTATTGTGAAATTAATATATATATATATATATATCAAAATACACTTAGAACGAAATAATTATATATCTATATACATAAATATATACGTATATATCACTATATATATACCTATATATAAATAAAAATATTTTTTAAAAATTATATAGATATATACATATATATATACACATACGTATATATATACATATATTAATTCTACATATATATTTATGTAATATTTTTACATAATTAGGTATCTTAATTAATTACAATTAGCAGGACCTGCATGACAACCCATGCCGAAAGTAAAGGGAATTTAATTTGCTAGCACTATATTTAACCCTATAACTTTCCGAGACACCATAAAACCTGTACATGGGGGTTACTGTTCTACTCGGGAGACTTCGCTGAACACAAATATTAGTGTTTCAAAACAGTAAAATGTATTACAACGATGATATCGCCAGTAAAAGTTAAGTTTTTTGCATTTTTCACGCACAAACAGCATTACACGGACAATATTATTGCTGTGATACTTTTTACTGTTTTGAAACACAAATATTTGTGTTCAGCGAAGTCTCCCAAGTACAACAGTACCCCTCATGTACAGGTTTTATGGTGTTTTCATTCAGCGTCAAATATAAGGCTTGCGTTTCATTTTTTTCACATTAAAATTCGCCAGATTGGTTACGCTGCCTTTGAGACCCTATGGTAGCCCAAGAATGAAAATTACCCCTATGATGGCATACCATTTGCAATAGTAGACAACCCAAGGTATTGCAAACAGGGTATGTCCAGTCTTTTTTAGTAGCCACTTAGTCACAAACACTGGCCAAAATTGGCGCTTTTTGCATTTTTCACACACAAACAAATACTAACGCTAACTTTGGCCAGTGTTTGTGACCAAATGGCTACTAAAAAAGACTGGACATACCCCATTTGCAATACCTTGGGTTGTCTACTATTGCAAATGGTATGCCATTATGGGTGTAAATTTCATTCCTGGGCTACTATACAGTCTCAAAGGCAACGTAACCAATCTGGCGAATTTCAATTTCAAATGTAACATGCTATATTTGACCCTGTAACTTCCCAAAACGCCATAAAACCTGTACATAGGGGGTACTGTCTTACACGTGAGACTTTACTAAATACAAATATGTGTATTTTATTGCAGTAAAAGCAAACAGTATTATGACATTGACCTTTAAAATGTCATTTAGAACTAAAAAAATTAAAAAAAATAGTATTTTCTCCCATTTTTTTCATATTAAATTATGTTTCATAGCTAAATATTTGATATTAAATGAAAGCCCTGTTTCCCCTGAATAAAATGATATATAATAAGGGTGGGTGCATTTACTATGAAAGAGGTGGACAGACATGTAGCGCAAATGCCAGGTTTTGTTTACATTTTGTTTTGTTCACAACGTGTACATTTGGCTCCGTCCTTAAGGGGTTAATACATATTAACACACAGTGCATGTTTTGTATATCTTTTCTTGTCAGAAATTACATTCCTGCTCACTTATGTCCAGCAAGGCTGAATGTTTAGTATGAGTTATACAACCACACAATTCAAATATTTATATCTGTTTCTATGGCAACCAGTTTTCGTTTCTGAGCATTCTCAGGGACATGTCATACAAAGTCTCAGTTCATCTATGTAGATGAAAGTTCATTACATACTCAGCAGAGATGATTATAACAAAATAAGTATTTATATGCAAGTTTGTGAATCAATAGTAAACAATGATGCTCAATTGAGGCAGTCATGCTACATAATACAGATTAAGGAACAGCGCACATATAAAAATACAGTTTTAAATTCCCAATTCCCTTTTTGTCTTTACTATGTAAGTATGAAGCACAGACAAGATTCCTTTTGGGTTGAGCCCCCCAGCTTCAGATGCCCCTCTGGAGGTGACCACAGGAAAGCATATATTTGAATTGCGTTTATCACATTCACAGTGCTCTTACAGCAGATTATAGAAATACACTTTAGCACATTAAGAGCTAGCACTATTTATTTTGTCTCCCACGTTTGGAATTTGTGTAGGACCCACCGATATTGGGGTACTGTGAACTAGTGGCGGGCTTAACACAATATGGCCATATGGTGGAACTGAATCCCCATATTTATTTACTGAAGTTATGTTACGTAGTCTTAGAAAATGTAAAACTGTATTGTTCTATGTGCGATGTTGCTTAATCTGTATTATGCATACATTTTGATCTCTGCAGCAGCACCATTACTGAGAATTGCATGTTCCGGATGTGTCCCACGCCAATATCCTTGGAAAAATAAGGGGTTTCTCTGCTTACCGAACAGAAATTCCTTCATTGAATTGTATAAGGAGATTGCCATTCAGTAAGCAGAGTAAATCTGTATCCTGCTAATCAAATCAAGCACTCATATGGGGAAAAGAAACCTTTATAAATCAGATGTACGGGTATAAATTAAGTAAAATTATTTGGGCTGTTCCTTAGTCAAATTGGGGGCACGTGAAGGGAATTCTTAAATGTTTAAATTACTGTTTTGGGATTTATATTTTGTTGAACATAGTTACAAAACCTATCTCAGGGATAGGCAACCTTTGGCACTTGAAATGCTGTGGACTACATCTCCCATAATGCTCTTACAGCAATAAGGCTGGCAAAGCATCAGGGGAGATGTAGTCCACAACCTCTGGATTGCCAAAAGTAGTCTTTCCCTGGCCTAGCATTTATTAAAAAGGTAAGATCCTAGTAGTAGACCCTGAAACATATGATTTAAAAAAATATTTTATTGGGCTATACCATGTGTTAGAGCACAACTAGGGCCAGATTGCCCCTAGGCTAGTGATGGCTAACTTTAACCCTGCACATATTTGTGGGCTATCCTTACCATGATCCTCAGACAGCCTAAAGATGCAAATAATACCAGGGGTGTTTGTGGCAACCAGAATAGATCCAACAGAAGGTGATCATCGGGTAACTCAGGGTAACTTGCTCAAACTATATCCTCAGTTTGTTTAGAGGGGGGGAAAGTCTGGGACTTCCAAAGTTTGAAAAGAACAATGTTTAAAAATGTAACTCCATTCTCACTGACCTCCCATCCATGAACAAATCCCTACTGCTAGGATGTTTGCAAATGTTCAGGTGGAACACTTAAGGCCAAAGAACATTACATCCATGTAAAAAAATAATAATAGGGGGTCGGGGCTTGAACGCTGAGCTGAGCAGACGCATGTAGACACAGCTCCGCTCTGCTTGACTAATACAGCAGAAAAACGGCACAACACAGCCCAGAAAATGCTACAAAAGGGCTACCAGTAGACAGGTGAAGTGCTTCTGAATCTTTTGGCGCCACACAAGCCACTATTATTGTCGATTTACCGTGATATGCGTCTTAGGCCTAGCAAGGGTAGCGGCCTGAATGCTGGGGGAGGTGGCCGATCTCCCGACACGTGGTCCACACCGCACAGCAGCTCTCCTGTTCTCCCGCTACCCCCCCATGGACCGGTGGGGGATATCCCGGTCCCCGCTGGAAGGTTATACTCACCTGCAACAAGGGAAAATCTTGCCAAGCAGCCGGTCCCACGAAGCACCTAAGATGGCCGCCATGCTGCACTTCCAGCAAAATAAAGAGGGCCCAGAGCTCCAGCAATGGAGACTGTACTTCGAGATCCGGTGTGTGCAAATCTGCCAAGTGTTCTGGAGGCGCTTACAGCACAGACCTCCCTTTCAAGCCTCACCTACGACACCGGAAAACAAAGCAGCAGCGGCAGCTCATCCATCCTACCCTGAGCAGAAGGCCCACACAGGAGTGCGCCCGCTCAGCCACTCAAGTAGCCGGGAGGCTCTCCGTAAACCACAGAGCCCCAGGACCCAAGTTCACACTGAGCAGAGCAATGCCAAGCCCACAGCCTACCACACGGCAGAAAGTTAAGAAGCAGAGGAGGGCTGTCAGATGCCGTCATCATGGTCTGGATGTGAGCCTTCACCTTCGGCACAACCCACACCCTGAGAGGGATTCTATCCACCATACGGAAGAGCAATATGGAGGGGGATCGCGACCCCAGTGATGTGGCGGGCTACACCACGTGCGGGCGCCTACCTGGGCCCATCAGGGACAGATAAGGCCTTGCAGCCTTGGAGGCTGTCACAGCAGCTCACACTCCGTCCCTGTCTCTAATGCCTGACCGGACACTCCACTGACGGGAACTTTGTACCGCCACTGATGGGAATTGATTAGCTGGAATTGCAGGACCTTACTCAGCCATGGGTCTCCCTCTACGCCAGGCCACACACTGCAGTGTCCAAACCAGCCTGTCTAATACGGCCCTTACTACCTATGGACAGGCAAACACCCAATGCAATTGTTATGCTCTATTGTTTACACCCTGCAACCCACATAGCATAGTATTTAACCTGTCTAACTCCCCCACACTCCCATTACATACAACCAGGAGAGATCATAATGGAGATGGCGGAGCCTAAGGTTCTCCTCCTTCTGTGCCTCATCCCATGTTTTCTCCTTTTGTTTATGCCTTTGTTTTTCATTTACTTTACCATACTTACTTTACATAAGTCTTGGCAGGTCGGTATGGGTGCCAGCGGTTTGTTACAATTTTCTTACCTAGCAAATGTGTTTAAATCAGCCCGCAGTTCGTATAATTAATGTGTAAGCTACCTAACACATATCTGACTACTCGTGATCTACTTAAATAACACTCAACATCAGCTCAACTTATTTAGCACATCACACTAAAACCTACTATCCAGCTTAACTATCCTCTACTCATTACTAAAAAATGTGCCTAATTTTAGAACATCACAATCTGTCATGCATATTGTATTCCTTTATACCTTGATACCGCTATTGTGGCGTACCGAGGCTGTTTGTTCATTTTGTGCACAAAAAAAAAATGTAAAATTATAATAGATATGTAGGTAGCATATTAAAATTCTAAGTAAAAAAATATTTGGTAAATAGGAGACAGGTCTACAGGGCACCCAGTAAAAAAAAAAAAAATGATATTATAAATATAATACATAATTATAATATATAATATAAAAAATAACATTTTAATTTCACAAACGTATACACCTCACCCCAATGATAAAATCAAATTCACAGTAAATTATGCAATTTTTGTTTCTCAAGAAAACATAGATGAATCAGATCCAAGCCACAGAGGAAATCAACCAAAAACATAATGCAACTGCAATTTAACAGCAGGGCTTGGTGTCCAGCTATGTACATCAACTGAATGGTCATTAACATAAGCTTGTTAGTCACTGGTATCCCAATATCTTAAGAAGCACTCCATTAAATAAAATAAATACATTTGTAGATACATCTTGTAATTCTTTAGGGGTATGTGAAATTTAGGCTTGCAATTGCTGCAGATCTAGTATCTGCAGTTATTGCAATACCTCCTCTTCATCCCCAGCACCAATCAGAGGCTTCCCATTGACAAGCCTTGAGAATGTGTGTGTGCAGCTGTTCACTTGTCAATGAGCTCACTGGCAGGTCTGTCACAGTACCTAGTGACCCAACACGCAGTGTGTATATGATAAAAGATGAGACAACATTTACCGGTCCTTAGAATGGCCGGGTTATACGTTGTTAGATAAAGAAAGCCGAGTCAGGGAAGCCAGAAATCAGGAAAGCGAAAATCCAATAGCCGAGTCACAGGAGAACAGAACAGAGAATAGTCAGAGGAAAGCCAAGATCAAAACACCAAAATAGACACAGAACATAACGCACTCTTGGGAACCCACAACAGGACAAAGATCCATACACTAAATGCCCTTTTTTATGATATGCCTTTGATCTATGGCCACGACCCAAAAACAGTTGAATTCAAAAGTTTTGGCGGGCTGTGACATCATCGGCGTCATGACATAGTCGCGTTCGCGCCGCTTCATAAAAAGGGCAGAGCTAAGTCAAAATAGCCAATATAAGGGGATCAGATACTTTTCTATCAAGTGTTATGGGCTACATCTGTAAATAGTTTTTGATTACACAGTCAATATTTAGAGAATATAGCCTTTGATTTTCCAATACATAGGTAAGAAAAACAAATCTACTTTTCTATTTCTGTGTAGTTATCAAAACTAAATGTAGACAACTTCATGACAACAGGTTTCCAATATATTTGACAAAAAACGACCTGTAGCACCCAAACTCCTGATCCTCAGCCACTGATGTGTAATAATGGGAAAAAACAGCTTTTAATTGCTGTCTATGTGTACAGGTATATATAAATAAATATTCCATATATCTTGCATATAGCTGAGAGTGGGCTTTGGGTGCCGAGAGAGACAGTGTTTTTATTAAAATAATTAAAGCTGATTTGTCAGAAACTAAAGGAATGCACCCAAAGGCTCCATGCACCATAATCACTATAATAAGTTGGAGTCAGTATGATGCTTAAAGTGTCTTTTTAGTTATCTGGATGGATTTATCTAGATTACTTGAGTATAAAAGAGTATTATCTCGGGGCAGAGCCAAGCTACTGAGCTGGATGGTCACATGTTGCATGAGGTCTATACCGACAAGCTAATTATAACCCGTTTTTTCATGCTCACAAACTTGCAAATCAAAACTAAAGCTGACTCTCACAATATGGGACAGAAAAACAAAAAACCTAGACCCCATTAGCCGAGAATGGGGATGAATATCAGCGACTTATGGCGACAGGTCCAGAGAGCTATGGACCCTAAAATGGCTGACATCTGAGACAACGGATTTGAGATATCAGACTACTTCTCTCTGGAAACGGCAGAGGGACATACACCGGAGCAGAGGGCTCTCAAGCCGACCACCTCTCACTCAGACTGCATACCATTCAGGCTGAGGTGACTCACATCCAAAAAGAACTGCAGGGCCTAACGAGCCGCATGGGGGCTTTGGAGCGAGAAACCCACCAACATGTTAAGCATACAGCCCAACTGCAACGGTCAGTGCAGGATCTGCAACTACAACAAGCCAAAACAGATGAACAGTTTGCAGTGCTTGAAGACCAGAGACGAAGATTAAACCTCAAGATAAGAGGGATATCGTAAGAGACCTTGGAGGCAGAGCTACCACATCTTATACGGCACCTTCTACTGGCACTACTACCCCCCAAGCAAGCTAAACTGGTGGGATTGGAGGGGCTATTCCGACTGTAAAAACCAGCCAAAGCACCAACTTCAGCACCAAGAGACTTCTTAGTGCGATTCTGTAACGGAGCTCCTTGTACTCCGACTGAGTGCCCTCCGTTGACGGATGCTCCTAGCGCTTCCTGAGGACTCCAAGCACTGCAGTAGACACCACAACCACCGCAGACTCCGCAACCGCCGTATCTTGACTGGAGTCTCGCCGTCTTCCTTCCACCCTGGATCAGCTTCTGTCCTCCAAGACTGTGTGGGAAAGAACTCTTCCTTCCACCCTGTATGAACCTCCAGCATTCAGGACTGTGTGGTGAAGACCCCTCCTCCAAGGAGAGCGTGTCAGGAACAAGCTCTTAAAAGAGCTCAGTGACTCAAGCTCAGGGGAGCATGCAGAGCATAGCAATCCCCAGTGTGATTATAACAGCTCCCTCCAATAATGAGACAAGGCTACGTTTAGAGGGATCAAGAAGAACTGTCAAAACCTTTATTTCCCTTGGGACCAGCCAATACAGTCACCACAATAACATTGTTGTGAAACCTTCAATAAAATCACAAACAGTCAAACCATATCAAGAAACACACAGTGACTTATCACAACACAATGGCACATTTTTAAAGGGGTGGGGGGAGACAATATTTAACAGTAAATATCTCACCTGCCTGCAGAATTAACAATATGCAAATCTACCCGAATATGCAAATGAACCAGTCTTGCAATTCAGGTAGTGCATATTGCTGTTGCTACCAACAGAGGGCACTAGACAAGCTCCATAGCCAAACCCACCTAGTTGGTAGCAAACCTCAGCAATACAAGAGAGCAGGCAATACATTACACAGTACACACACACACTATAAACAATTACATTACACACACCCTGCACCTATAATGGGTACAGGGTGACTAAAACATAAGATAAGTAAAGCAGCCTACATAAATAGTCTGTCTGAAGGTAGAGTAGGGGCTTTAAAGCCAGATTCATGAAAGAGTCATAGTCACAGGGGAGGAGGCTGGAAAGTAGGCCTCTCCAGGACCAAGTGGCGAAGGGCACTTCGTCACAGATTCCAAAGCGGCAAGGATAAAGCAGCTGTCCTGAACGCAGTCAGGAATCACTCACCATACACGTTCGAGGGCATGCTGCTATGCGGACTTGTCTGGGAAAACGATGGCGTGGTGGAGATCGCTTTAGACCTTCACATCTCTCCTCCAGTCCAAAGGCATCGCGTACAGATGGAAAATGCAGTGCATATTAATCGTTCAACACGGCACCGCAAAGTATCCTGTCCAGGATCTCTAGGAAGTAAAATATCTTCTGTCACCACTGGGACTCCCAATGGACTCCCTGGACAAAGTACAACCACACACTATGTCAAAGCACAAACCGAGCCCTGCAGACAGCATTACCACCTCTCCAACCCACACTTGGAATTCGGCGGCAGCGCTTCCAATAATACCCTGAGGGGCAACACCATACGCCTATGTAGCTGCCACTACTTTACCGGCAGGCTTGCTTCTACCAAAACAAATGTTTTATTTCACTCTCTGTTGATGTTCTAGTTTTATTAGCATTTTTACCGGAGACTGTATTTTATGCATTTTACATGTTATGATTTGGGCACAGAGGGCATGGCACAACAACCACATACCCAAGTATGCAGAAGTATATGAGAGGTATTACCCCTATATAACACCTTAATCAGCTCACCTAAAGGAGTCTCCTTACGCACACCAATCCCCACTGAGTTGAACCTTAATTAACCCAGGATTCTATGTCTATTCTATACATGCTATAACTTCGCAGTCTAACACGATCAAATCAAGTACGCAACAAACCTATATATGATGAGCACCAAATCTAACCATTCGATCCTAGTGCTATCCATACCCATACGATAACATTGACCCCCCATGGAGGGGCACTCCATACCACTCAACCGGGTTTCTAGTCCTCACATGCATTAAACTAAAATATACGTTAATATTGCAAAGTTTATTGTTCTCATGATATAAAAATGTCCTTAAATAGTCAGTGTTGAACATGCATTATTCCTTGCACAACAAAAATAAAGAATAAAAAATAAAAAGAGTAGTGGTCAGCCTTTATACAGGGACTGTAACAGCCATCTGAGGAGATGAATTGAATCAATGAATCTCAATGAATCTCTATGCGGAAAGTTCAGTGTCTGCATGCAGAGGGAGGAGACACTGAATGTTTGGATGCATTTTAGGCAGCCATGACCCAGGAAGGATCTCTAACAGCCATCTGAGGAGTGGCCAGTGAAGTTATCACGAGGCTGTAATGTAAACACTGCATTTTCTCTGAAAATAAATTTTTTACAGCAAAAAGCTTGAAGGTAATGATTCTACTCACCAGAACAAATTCAATAATCTGTAGTTGTTCTGGTGACTATAGTGTCCCTTTAACGTATGAATACAACCAGGATCTGGACATAAGTATGATACTATTCAGCAATATACTCTGACTATTACAACACCTACATATTGTTGTAACATTGCTGCAACTTTGTATGTTGCTACATTATTCAGGCCAGTTGTTACATTCTGTCCTGCATCTTATTTCTTTCTTTCTTTTTTTTTTTTAATTCAAAGTTTATTGGTGGAGTTTTATAATAAGACAGTTCCGATGAAAGAAAATACACACCAAAACAGGAATCGACAAGCATTAAATGTCCCATATGCATTGTACATAGAACAATCAAAATCATTTATAACGTGATCAGTGACAGGTCATACATTTGTTAGTTTAATGGTGCCTGCACATTATTACAAGAAGATATAGACGTGATTTCGAATTTTGCTTTAAATGAAGGAAAATTTGCTTGTGAGAAGTAGGCCAACAAGAGTAAAAAGTAGAGAAGGTTAACATAAAAGTTTCCCTATTAAGTACTGAGTATATAACATATCCCCCATAAGAAAGGATGGGTGGGGATAGAAGACAGGGAAAAGTAAAAAAAATAAAAAAAAATAAAAAATGATGGGGCCAGAAAGAAGGGGTAGCCCGCCTGCCCAGTCTTGTCCCGCTCTTTCTTACCCTCCTTCCCCCACCCAGCTGCCAGGAGTTCTTATCCAGGCTGCATACTCATCTCCACAGTTGGATATCCCCCCCATTCAAGGGATCCAGAATAGAGCCACTAGTACTAATGGGACCATGTACCAGTTGATGGTATCTGAATTGGAGCAGTTAGCCCAGCAGATCTACTCCATATGGACAATGTTGTTGTTATGGTAGGTTGTCCACCAATGGGTTTCACCTTAGAAACTCAGGGTAGCCATGTGAAAGCAGACAGGAGCATGGCAGAAATACTGACTTCTGTGCTGCTCCAGAACTTATCAAAAGGAGTGTGAGTCCACTCAATAAATCATTGCAGATGAACTGCTTGATGATTTTTAAACAAGTCTGGTAAACCCAATCCACCCTGTAGTTTAGGCTTTGTTAAGATTGCATATTTTATCTGTGCTTTCCGGTGAGGCCAGCACATTCAGAACATTTACCTTACCAAGTCATGTAATAATATGAGGAAGTCCGGTTAAACCTGATCCAATATGGGCTTGAACATGTGGGACAGATCTGCCACGAGCCAGACTCCTAGATACCTTATCGCCTCTTTGGAAGGGGAATGTGTTTTTAAAGGAAGTTATCAAGGTAAAGTTGCAACCAATGCTAAGGATTTCAGATTTTGTTAAATTAATCTCAGATTCGAAAGAAGGCCATAACATTTAAATTCATGTATGATTGCGGTCAGTGAAGTTTCTAGATTCCTAACATAAAGCAGGAAGTCATCCACACATGCCACCTATGTCTGTAATTTGAGAGTGCTCATGAATCGCATTCAGGAATGGCTCCATACCGAGAACAAACAGCAGGGGTAACAGAGTGCCATTTTGCTTAGAATAGAGTTTAGGGCTTTCATTCACGCCAACATGTTCAGGAACAAAGCTGAAGAGTCGCAAATAAGAAAGATCAATCTACCCTGTCAAAAGCCTCCTCCGCATCAGTAGAGACCAGGAGTGAGGGAGAGGACTATTTCTGAGTCATGTGAATCAAGTTGATCACCTTAGTGGTATTATCTTGGCTTCCCTGCCTGTAATAAATCCCACCTGGTCCGGATGTATCAGGTCAGGCATCAAAGGCTGGACGCAGTGAGCTAGGATCTTTGCAAAACATTTTAGATCTGTGTTCAGCAGGAAGATCTATCTATAGCTGGGACACAAAATGGAATCCTTCCCCTCTTTTGGTAGCACAACCACATGAGCCAGTAGCATGTTAGGGTCCAATGAACCACTCTCTTTTAGCTTGTTTAGCATATTAAGCAAATGCGAAGCTAGCATGCTGAGACAGGTTCTGTAATATTTGACAGTAAAGCCATTGGGTCCAGGGCTTTTTCCTGGTTTGGCCAGTGTAAGTGCCAGAGACAGTTCTTTCCTCTGCAATAGCCATTGGTGTTAAGTGGTCAGTTCCATTATGTACTTCTGTCTGCGTGTCTGCAATGAACTGGGTAACATTCTGAAACTCTTATTCACATATTCATAAAATTCTTTTTTGGCCAATTGAAATTGAATTTGTGATGTTAAACGTTAATTGAGTTTTGCTCCAGCAGAAGTTGTTTGTATGTAGCGCCATCCAAAGAGGTTTTATGTTGGACTTCTAGTTGTGCAATATGGGCTAATACGTCATAAATCTCGTGTGAGCACTGTTTTTTTTCCTTGCCGGGTGCCATGTTTGAGATCCCGAATTACGTATTTGTGGGATTCCCAGATGGCCTCCGGGGTGGAGTCGGGTGTTTTGTTGGCAAGAAAAAATTATTCCAAGTGTGTGCTGCATCTTATTTCAAGTGACTATGAGATAATTACATTCTACTGTATTTTCTTTTTATGTTTATATATGTATTTTTTGCCATTTTATTGCTGCTATTAGTCTTATTCTTTATAATCTACCACCTACTTTCATTTTTATTTTTTAATTCTTTATTTTTATTATGCTTAGGTCAACAATACATGCTTGTCTAGCCACAACAGCATCTGCAAGCTTAATTTAAACAATTTTTTTTAAATTTAATTCCAGTTTTATTGGTTTTGTCATCAATAAGGGGGTACAGAAGAGAAATGAGGGGATGGGGAACAGTAGGTTTGAGGACAATACAATAAGCATGGTACATCAAAGTGCATGGTTTGTTGTTGCATGTGGAAAATAGCTTGTTATGAAGACAGTAAATGGTACATTGCCCCTTTGGTGTGTCGTATAACTTTTTGCTGAGGCCCAATCGTCTCCTGCTTTCTCTGGATCTTACTATGATTTGTGCCGCTCGGCCTCAACTTATCGCCGTAAGCGAGCGGTGTGCTCCTGAGTCCCCTCTGGGGTTTTCAGGGGTTCTGGGGCTCCCTGTGGCCTGTGCATTGGTCCTCTCTCCTCAACCTATAAATCTCGGGATTGGGGTTGGGTGTTGTAACTGGATGGTGGCGTGAGGGGAGGGGAAGGTCCATATCTCGCCTGTTCCCCATCATGGGGTGGCTAGGGGAGGTAATGGGGTGAGAGGGAGGATGGTTCCATTGAGTATTGTGGTGGTTCATCATTGTGGGCTGTGATTAGTGTCTTTTATGTTTGCCCAGTACCGTAACCAGGGTTCCCATGTGCTGGCGTATTTATCATGTCGGCCTAGTGGGGACCAGTATAAGTTTTCCATTTCTCTCGTGGCTTCCACCCTATCTATGCATTGAGTCACCGTGGGGGTTTCTGTTTTTCTCCAGTGTAGGGGAATAAGGTTATTTGCTTCCCCTAATAACAACCACAGTAGTTGCTGTGTTTTCGGGTTTTGGAAGGTTTGTGGCCAGCCCAGCAGGATTTGGGAGGGCGTCAGTGAGTGTGGAAGCGTTAGGATGGTCTTTATTGTTGCTATTACCTCCGTCCAGTAGTGTCTAATGTGTGGACAGTCCCACCATATGTGTTCTATTGTCCCCACCCCACTATCGCATCTCCAGCATTTATCGCTAAGTGTTGGCCAGAAGTGGTGTAAAAGATCTGGGGTCCTGTACCATCTTGTGATGCGCATGTAAAAGGCTTCACGTCTTGAGAGGCTAATGGAGGCTGTCATAGGTCTTGTTAGGATGTACTTCCAATCGGCGGGAGTCATGTGGATGTGTAACCCTTTCATCCACCGCTGATGGAAGGGGAGAGTCTCTTGGACTCCTTGGGGGGAGACCAGTAATTTATATATTTGGGAGAGTGTGCGTTTGTGCATTGATTTGGCGGTGCATAGTTGCTCGAATTGGGTGAGAGCTCTCGGGTTCCAGTTTGGTAATACTGTGCTTTGCAGGATGTGGCGTATGTGCCCATATCTTAGCGTTTCAGTGAGTGAGCCCTGGCCCCCCCACTCCCGTAGAGATTTGATATTGGGGGGGTGTCATTTGTCATCATGTCTCCTATACGTGGGTAATTTGTCCCCAGTATTTTCCTCAGAGTTGGAGCTCCCCTTCCCCCCAGGATATCAGGATTGTGTGCTAGTGGATAAAGTGGGGAGATTCCTGGAGATAGTCCCCATGTGGTTTTATGGAGTCTCCATTTCTTTAAGACGTGGTGGAGAAGTGGATGCGATGTAATGGCCAATTTTTGCAGGTGGCATGTTTGCCAGGGTAGTGTGGACAGGGTAACCGTGGAGAAACTTTGCTCCAGGTCGTACCATGCTTTTTTGTGTTGGGTGTCCGTCCACTCTTTCACTCTAGTGAGGAGGGTCGCTATGTGGTATTTATATACATGAGGTAGACCCATCCCCCCTTCCTTCTTATTCCTTGTGAGTGTGTCATACGCTATTCTTGCTTTTTTATGTCCCCATACATAGGATATAAAGGCTGATTTCATTGTACGGAAGAAAGTATTGTCTAGGTCTAGTGGCAGAGTTTGAAAGAGATAGAGGATCTTCAGTAGGATCATCATCTTGATGATGTTGACTCTCCCAAAAAGGGAGAAGTGGGGCTTGTCCCATTGCTTTAGTTTGGATGTAATGTCCTGTAACAGGGGGATGTAATTCATTTTATAAAGGGCTTTCACCGTGGGCGTCAGTGTGACTCCCAGGTATGAGAGGCCCGATTCTGTCCATTTATAGCTGTAGGCGTCGCTGATTTGAGTTTTGTGTGTCGCGTTCAGCCCTAAGCCCATTATTTCGCATTTGTCTGCATTAATTTTGAAGTTAGAGCAGGCACTAAATTGATCTATCTCTTTCTGCACATGTATGAGGGACTGTTCCGGGTTGGTTATGGTGAGAAGTACATCATCTGCGAAGGCAGATACTTTGATCTCTGTCCCACCCGCTCTAAAACCTGTAATGTTGTCATTGGTTCTGATGGCATTGAGAAAGGGCTCCATAACCAAAACAAAGATTAGGGGTGACAGTGGGCATCCCTGCCTAGTGCCGTTGCCAATGTGAAACGGGGGGGAATCATGACCATTAACCCTGACGAGGCTGAGGGACCTCTATACAACATTCGCACCCAGTGTCTGTAATTTGGTCCCATTCCCAATGCCTCCAGTGCGGTGAATAAGAACTCCCAGTCCACCCGGTCAAAAGCTTTTTCTGCATCAACTGACAGGAGCAGTGTGGGGGTCCTGGAGGACAATGCGCCGTGCATGACGTTGAGGAGACGGGTCGTGTTGTCCCGTGCCTCTCTCCCCGGGATAAAGCCCGCCTGATCCGCATGAACCAGGTCCGGAAGGAGTGGTTTAACCCTATTGGCCAGTATTTTTGCAAAGAGCTTTAGATCTAGGTTAATTAAGGATATTGGCCTATAGCTGCCACAGATGCTTTGGTCTTTACCTGGTTTTGGGAGAACAGTGATCGAGGCCTTTAGCATGGGTGGTGGTAGAGCATCTTTGGCCAACAGAGTATTGAGAACATCTAGGTACTTTGGAATCAATATGTGTTGGAAAGTCTGATAATATCTAGCCGTAAGGCCGTCTGGGCCTGGGCTTTTGCCTTTGGGGAGGGTCTGTATGGCTATTCGGAGTTCCTCAGGTTGGATGGGTAATTCTAATTGGGCTGTTTGTTGTGGGTCTAGTTTTTTATGAGTGTGAGCTGAGATGTACGCTGCTATGTTATGTTGTGTGTTCAGTGGTTGTCCCAAGTTGTAGAGGTCGCTGTAGTAGTTTTGAAAGGTTTTGGCTATGTCCTCTGTCGTGTCTTGGCGTATTCCGCTTTTCGTGGTTATGTGAGAAATGTATGTCTTTTGGTGTTTGTCCTTCAGGGCCCTAGCTAGATATTTCCCACTTTTATTGCCGTGTGCATAATATGTCCCCTTAGTCAGCTGGGCTGCCCTATGGGCTTTCGCTGTAAGGAGGTTTCGCAGTTCTATTCGTGATGCTGTTAGTGTTTTGTATGCGTCAGGTGTGGGGGTAGCCGTGTGGGCAGATTCTGCTATGTGTATGGCTTTAGTTAGGGATTGGATTTGTGCTGTTCGTTCCCGTTTTATGCGAGCTCCCCACTTAATCAGGATCCCTCGTGTTATACCTTTGTGTGCCTCCCATACCCATGATTCCGCAGTGCCTTTACCCGCATTTTCGTGGAAGTACATGGGCAGTTCGTTGGTCAGGTCTTCAGTTACCCTGGGGTCATCTAACAGTGATTCGTTTAAGCGCCACGAGTTGCTCACGGCACTCTTCTCATCTAGAGACAGTGTAAGGAATATTGGGGCATGGTCCGACCATGTGATCGGTCCCAGGGACGTGGAGGCCAGTGTGTGCAGGTGCTTGTGTCCTATCAAGAACATATCCAATCTAGAGTAACTATGGGCCACCTGGTGGAAGTATGTATAATCCCTCTCCTGGGGGTGGGTGATCCTCCAGCAATCAACTAGTTGGTTAGCATGTAACGTTTTTTGGAGCAGCAGGCGTTGGTGTGCTAATGTGTCTTTACCTGTTGCAGTGCTGTCCATTGCGTGATCTAAGACTATGTTCCAATCGCCCCCTAACACCACTAACCCCTCTGCGAAATTCTCTAGTTTTCTGAGGCACGATTTGATGAATGGGACCTGTCTATTGTTGAGTGCATAAACATTCGCTAGGGTAATGAGGGTATTGTTGATCATTCCTTTGAGGAAAATATACCTGCCCTGTGGGTCTAATTTGCTGTCTCGGAGCGTGAATGCTCTTCTGGATGATAATAGGATAGCGACCCCTCTAGATTTGCCTCCGTGGTAATTGCTAAAGTACGCTTGTCCCATGGATTTGGTTTTCAATGAGGGGGTCTGATCTCCTCTAAAATGGGTTTCTTGGAGAAATACTATATCCATCTGCTGTCTGTCTAGTTCCTGCGCTAGGATTGTGCGTTTTTCGGGCGTGTTTAGTCCCCTTACATTCAGGGACATGAGTTTGAGGTTATCCATCATAGAACAGCCAAGGGTGAGGGCTTCTCAGGCTTAGATGGTGTGATGACCTATACTCAATGGAGGGGAGGGGTTGGGGGGAAAAACATAAACTGTGAAAACTATATACAGTGTATATGCAGCGTGCCTGCTGCGTCCAGATGGTGTCAAGCCCGCTGTGGATCATATGGATCCCACGTGCTCTTTGCGGCACCTCTTGGGGGGTTGTGTGGTCTAGACCCATTGAGACTCCGGGCCAGCTGTGCGTGTGAAATACGTAATTCGCATATCGTTAGCGATCTTGCATTAGCTTGTGTTAATAACGCTTACATCTTATTATGACATAACTGTTGATCGAATCCCAGATCCAGCGTGTCTGGGGTCCGGACGCCATCTGGTCGTCCGGGCCCCAGCCACGGGGACCCTTGGCA